TATATATATATATACATATATATATCATATGTATAAATCGCCTCTGAGTTAAGGGGGGCACCTCATGTAACGCACTTGAAAATTTGATGATATTTCGAAAATTTTTTTAAGGAAATTATACGATCAATTCTTTTGAGATTTTCAAAGTATGTTGTTGTAATATTAAACTACTAAAAAAATATTTTTTAACAGAAAAATAAAATATATTTTATGAATAATGATAATGTTAAGTTGATGCGTCGATGTTGTCGGCGTGCAATGTAGCGTTGCTTGTATTCATCTGCAACAAGAGAACCAAATTCATTTCTTTTTTGTAGAGTTTACATTATTAATTAAACCTATTATTAAAGAGAATAATGCAAAATTGTAACAATGGTGACACATAGAAAAAAAATATTGATTTTTACAAAAAATTTTCGAATTAATGATGCCATAAAAATAATTTATTTGAACGATACAATTGCAAATAAAGGTTTAATTTATGAGAAAAGTATTTATCTAAATGTGTGCACAGGAAGAATTTAATCGGATGAATAGTTTTTGAATTATCTTGCACGCCAATTTTAAAAAAGTAGTTTCAAGAAAAATGCGTTTAAAGTTAACTTTCTGTTTACCTTCTGTAAACCTTCTTCAAAAAATTCTTGTAAGGCCGCATTTTCTTCTCGACGAGCTGATCGGGCCTCTTTACTGCTGCATGCGCTGCGGCGCTCCTGCCTCCGTATCCGTTGTGCGTTGTATTGATCAGCAAATATTTTGCATTGCTGACCAATAACAATATTCATGCTGTGCATTATTTGCAAAATGGAATTGTAGCCTGTATTAAAAATGCCTGCAGCTATAAAAGCGGCGATTTCAATTGTTTTGAAGTCGTAATTGAAATGTTTAGAGGCTAAACGCCACACTGTAGAGTTGAAACTTTCGTTTGAATTTTGCGTGTAGCCGCCTAAACATCTTTCTAAAATATCTTTTCTGGAAAGTTCTTTGTATAATGGCAATAAATTTTTCTGCACATCCAGATGAAATGCAGACGGATGCTCAACATTTTCTACGGTACCAGCAGCCTCTGCGACATGCCACTTACACCAACTATCTATTTCTGGTGGACAATTATTATGCTGCGGCTTTTCATTTGTGGAACTTAGATGATAAAAAGTCGCCATTACAGCTTTTTCCATTTCATCAATAGACTCAGGACTCCTTCTTATTGCCAATCCATAATACTTCGTAAGTTTTTTTATTAGCACGTCCGTCAATTTTCCTTTTCCTCTAAGTTTTGCAGTTTTTCTTTATATTTCGAAATCTATTACCCATTCTTTTTCCCACATGGCCAATGCATTTACTTTTTATAACTTCGAAATCATCGCCATAAGGTTTTAAATCCAAAATTGCCTTGAACGTTTTAATGCCACCATCGCCGATGTAATTACCGTATTTTACTCCAAACTTTTCTTCGGATCTTGCGAACATTTCTTTTATAGAATCTACTTCCATTTTTCCTGCAGAGCCGGTATGGTTTCTAACATCCTTGTTTATGTTGTTCATATCATAGGAGATAATCTTCAGTATTTTGTTTGTTTTTCCAATATGTACATGATTAGCAATAGCTCCCTTTTACAACAAGATCTATTATTTTGCCAGTATAATTTCCTATTAACGTCGAAATACCAAATAGTGAAGAGAAGCCGCGTGTCTTCCAGGATCGCCAGATACTTTTAAATTTAATAAAAGTCTTTCATTTTTAGCATTTTCTTCCTTTTCTTCTTCGCTTTTCTACACAAAATATCAAATACTGCATTTGTCGCGGTATGAATTTTTTTAAAGCATTTTCGTACGTAGACGTGCTTAGGCCTTGAACAACATCCATAAGACCACAAAAAATGTTTATGCCTTGTCTAGCAATGCCTAACAATCTCATAACAAATATTATCTTAAAATTGATTTCATAAACATTTTTTATAGAAGGACCGGAGTTGATTGGTGTTTGACCACATCGACATCTAATTATGATTTTAAAACCAAAACCACGATGGTTTGATTTGTCAAATGTTATATTTTGTTTGCACTGTCTGCAAATAACCATTTCCGTAATTCCACCAAAAACAGTTAAAAATTCAATGATACAGTAATAATGAGTTTGAGTGATAATAATGTCTTTTGTACTTGCAGAATCTAATTTTCTTGCTGAAGCACTCGTTCCTTTTGTAGAATCATCATTAATAAATTGATTGCCTGAGAATTTTCT